CCCAGGACAATTCAGCAATGGCTTGCAAGGGTCCAGTCGCTCCTCTACTGCAATGAGAACGGGTTTTGGGGAACCTTCCTGGAGAGCCAGAGGAGCTGCGTGTGCCACGGTAGCACCACGCTGTGCCAGCGCCCCATCCCCTGCATCATAGGAGGGAACAACAGCTGCGCCATGTGTAGCCTGGCCAACATCTCCCTGTGCGGCTCCTGCAACAAGGGCTACAAGCTGTACCGGGGCCGCTGCGAACCGCAGAACGTGGACTCGGAGCGCAGCGAGCAGTTCATCAGCTTCGAGACCGACCTGGATTTCCAGGACCTGGAGCTGAAGTACCTGCTGCAGAAGATGGACTCGCGCCTCTACGTGCACACCACCTTCATCAGCAACGAGATCCGCCTCGACACCTTCTTCGATCCCCGGTGGCGCAAGCGCCTGTCCCTCACGCTCAAGAGCAACAAGAACCGCATGGACTTCATCCACATGGTGATCGGCATGTCCATGCGCATCTGCCAGATGCGCAACAGCAGCCTGGACCCCATGTTCTTCGTCTACGTCAACCCCTTCAGCGGGAGCCACTCGGAGGGCTGGAACATGCCCTTCGGGGAATTTGGCTACCCGCGCTGGGAGAAGGTTCGCCTCCAAAACAGCCAGTGCTACAACTGGACTCTCTTGCTGGGCAATCGGTGGAAAACGTTTTTCGAGACGGTCCACATCTACCTACGTAGTCGGACTCGGCTACCTACCCTACTGCGTAATGAGACCGGCCAGGGCCCGGTGGACCTGTCCGATCCCTCCAAGAGGCAGTTCTACATCAAGATCTCCGACGTGCAGGTGTTCGGGTACAGCCTGCGCTTCAACGCCGACCTCCTTCGCAGCGCCGTGCAACAGGTCAACCAGTCCTACACGCAAGGCGGCCAGTTCTATTCTTCTTCGTCCGTGATGCTCCTCTTGTTGGATATTCGGGACCGAATCAACCGCCTGGCCCCTCCTGTGGCCCCGGGGAAACCCCAGCTGGACTTGTTCTCCTGTATGCTCAAGCACCGCCTGAAACTGACCAACAGCGAGATCATCAGGGTGAACCACGCCTTGGACCTCTACAACACCGAGATCCTCAAACAGTCGGACCAGATGACGGCCAAACTCTGTTAACCTGGGGACTCCTTGCCACGGGCTTTCCCTTTTGTTGTACACACATAACAGAACAAAGCAAAGCAAAGCAACACAAACAACAATTTGTAAAATGTAATTCATAATTCAAAGAAAAGGAGGAAGAGTCTGCATTCGTTGGAAACTAAAACGTTCTAGCAACTGTATAAAACCGTTGGGCATGTTTGTTATTTCTATACTCTGTCATGAAGAAGGGTCTCAGCCTTTGGAGGAGCTTGGAGGGGTTGCTTCTTAGGCCTCAGGTGCTGTATTGTGGGGGGAGAACGGGGAGAGCGTATGCAATGAATTGCAAAGATCTCTGCTGTGCAGGTGCTAAGATTAAACGCTAAAAAGAAAGAGAGATATATGTAATGTACAACCGACACTGCCATTTTTCCTTGTGGGAGGAAATGGACATACATAAAGATATTTCTTGGGTTATGATTTCTTCCCTCTTTATGCCTAATTCCTTGTGGTTCTTTCGACTTCTTCTTGCACAGGGGCGACAGTGCTATCTTACCCGTAGAGCTTCTTTCATTCGGAATGACCTGAAGCTAATTGAAGGGGGACAACAGGTGGGCTTAGGGGGAGGAGCATAAGCCTCATCACAGGGTGTTAAAACAATAAGGAACCTTATACATCAGCTGTCACACTCCTTGATTTAGCTTGTGAAACAGGCGTGGGGAGAAATGGCACGCCCAGTAACCCACGGTTGCTGCCTGAAGAAGGATTTCAACTCTGCCTTCTGAGCCCCCTTGGCAATGCTCCTTTTTCAGAATCCCTCTGGCCTCTTTTCTGGTTTTTCTCTTCCAGCTACACTGCCACAGGACGGAATGTTTTTCAGTCTCAGGTTGTTTTGATAGCTTTTTTTTTTCCTTTTTTTTTAATGGAGACTCCTTTCACCTACTTTTTCCAAAAAGACATGGTGTCAGATTTCCTAGAAGTGCTTTGCATATTAAAATTTCATTTAAATACAAATCAATAACCACAATAGACTAAAATGGGGTAGGTTCTGAAGTTGCGTTCCTCACTTCACTCCTCTGCCAGGCACCTCCCCCAAGTCTCTATAAAATGATCCTTTCATTAACTCAGAACACACACTCACACACACGCATGCACAAACTAACACTGCCATTTCTCTGGCATCTATGAAAGTGAGAAGCCTTATTTTGGGACTTCGGAGCAAAATTGAAAGGAGAAACTCAAGAAAGAAAACTCATTTCAAAGCACTCCTGCAGAGGATTTGGGCAGATATCCCTTCGTAGTATTCAGGATCTCTATGTTTATCTTTTTTGCTGCAGTGGTACTTTCTAGAGGTGCTTCAGAGCATCTGAATCTTCATTTCTGTATTGTCAGAGGAACAGGATCACAAATTTCAGGGTCAGAAGAGAAAATGAAATTCCTCTGGTCTAAACATGTGCGCAGAGTGCGAATCTCCTCTCTGCCGTCTTGGGGAGATAGCTGCTGTTCACCGCCTGGACCATTTCCAGGATAGGAAGCCAATTGGCTCTATCTTCTACATTCCTTGCATTCCTCTTTTACTGAAAGGCAACAATAAGATTCATTCCATTTTGTGTTACGAGACAGATCTAATTATTAGATAGTTCTTCTATACCTTGGCCAGCTTTTACATACCTTCTACTCACTGGTTCTAGTTCTCTCTCTCAAGTTAATGCTTTTCTCTCTCTCAAGTTAATGCTGTCCTAGATTAAATAGAAAGACCTGTCTCAAGTGTCAGCCGAGTCTGTGATAATATGACTCAAAGGGAACATCATCCCCAATATAGTTTAAGAGGAAAGAAGGAGAGGGCTTCAGTGCATAACAATTACCTAGTATGTATGTGTATGTACTTGTGTGTGTATTGCTGGGGGGGGGGGGGGG